TATGTATTATATCAACGAAAACCTCTTTATGTAGACGCGAATTCTTTGCTTTGATAATTAAATTATATTTCAAGTTCATAAGTTTGAAACCGTAATGTATTGTGAAACTGAACCAAGTCCAGTTGTAAGACCTGACGTGGTGTTGGGTCCAGTTGTGAGACCTGACGTGGTGTTGGGTCCAGTTGTAAGACCGGTCGTGGTGTTGGGTCCAGTTGTAAGACCGGTCGTGGTGTTGGGTCCAGTTGTGAGACCCGACGTGGTGTTGGGTCCAGTTGTGAGACCTGACGTGGTGTTGGGTCCAGTTGTAAGACCTTCTTTGGAATCAGTTAGACAATACTTTGCCTTGATGCAGAATAATTCCTATTACCAGTACTGTATTGAAGTACTTTAAAGAATCCAGAGAAGTCGTAGATTGGTCACATAGAGTTCTTGGTTCAATTGCAACATCCCTCGAACGTCCTTGACCTTTATATACGTCAACACCTGAACCCATCACAAGATGTCAGAAAGTTTGGCATTGCACGAAATAAGCAATGAGTCATGATCCCCCGTAGCGCCACCTATGGACTGATCAGAAGCGTACCCTACTTATCCATGCCAGCAATGCTTGTTATTGGCTTCTTTTTTTTTACCAATTTTAGTCAGGTTGATTCAGTCAGACCCTAATTCTAACTACTCTGATGTTGAAGATACTGATGTGCTACGTGTAGTAGCTAGCAGTATACAGTTAATAATACTGATTGGTTAACATAGTACTCTTAAAATATAATAATTATTTGAAATACGTTGTTAAGTTGAGAACTGTATAAAATCTTGCCCCTTTAATTTTGTAGAATTATTTATATATATATGGTGTATAGGTCTAAACCAACATTATAGTTGTATCTCTATTGGAAATGCCCCCAGTGAATCAGCGTAAAGCATGAGGGCTTATAATGCTAAAACTAGGGTTTCGATCAATGCGATAGGCACAATACAGATAGCTCACTGTGCTCAGTAAACAAACCAGAATTTTGAAAATTGAGCGCCAAGATTTATTCTACGATAAGAAAGTCCTTTACTTACTTTGGCTAGTTTCGCGTTTACCAAGTTGGAAATATTTTGTAGATAAGAAACAAAACTGGTACAAAATCACTTCCTGGATTTACCATTTGTTATAAAGTAAGAGAACAGAGATCAAACCCAACCAGATATTATCTTAAGTGGTTTGCGGGTTCTTAGAAATCAGTACTTTAAGGCAATTATAACCTGTTTTACCAAGCAACCCCAAGTTCAATAACCTAAACAAACTGTCATTAATTTTTGAACTTATACTGAAGATTAAGGTTAATAAAAGAAATATCTTGTTTTATTTATCTAAAATATGTATCTCTTATTGTGTCAATACGATGTTAAATATGCAAATCAGCAAGTTACGTGACAGCCACGGCCGCTATTACGTTGCGGTGGAACAGAATGTATAAAAACTACATTTTGAAATTGTTTTGAATTTTTGTGATAGTGATGACACCATAAATTGATAGCTCTTGAGAAGGGTATGCCACAACTCAGATCATAAAAATGTGTTCAGGTTGGGGATTTAGAATTTAGAAAACGGGAGTATCCCTTGTACTTGATGGCATCGGAAAACAAAGGAATATGGATCAACTTGGACAATCAGGATCACACAGAAAGAAACCTGCAACAAGTCATATCCCAGCCAAGGTAAAATCAAAATGTAACATTTTGTAACAGGTGAGAACCCACGAACATAAATATCAATGGAAAAAGCCATCCGCGTGGCCCAGGCAACACTATGCGACATAACCAAGAAGGATCTACATCCAGGAAAACAGCACAATGCGTGTGTATTTGATTTGCTTCCACGGCATATCTTTCAATCGATGCATACCCCAAGAAACTGGAGAATGAAAGGAATGTTCGTGATATTCCATAAGAAGACATACCATTCAGGTCGCCTATAGATTCTTGTTTGATCAGACGATTGAAATGGATACTGGAAAACCATCGTTCTCCTACACTAGACGGCTTTTAGAAAGTATGCAGGATGGAAACGTATGTTTTGAACACGACATGCACTGTAACGAAAGTGATAGGGCTCCATAATCATTTTAATATAACGTACTCAACATCTGTATAATGAAGCTACTTATAATATAAAAATTTCAATATAAAGAGGATTGTTTTGACAAAGTAGTTGCACCAATACACCCTGCATCAGACACAAGCGCCATCTAACTCAAAGACAAGTCAAACTGGCAGAATCCCCTTAATATTAACATACCATCCCCTGAATAGGTTAGTAATAAATCTCATACAGAAAAAAATAATAATGATTTTCCCATATTCCTTAGATGTTTAGGTATTGTTTCATGAGAGACATGCAATTTCAGGGCCATTTCACGAGTGTGTTGCCTGGGGTTAGACTCAACAAGTGTCTTCAGAGCATCAATAT